CAAACTTTCCGAAGCGGGCCACTTCTCTTTCCAGCAGTTCATAAGGGATGAAGGGAGGGACACCTGACAGGGTAATCCACGTAGAGGGCACAAACAGCGGTGAGACGGCCACAAACAGATTATCCAACACCAGGCCCATCTCCACAAACGCTCCTCTCGGAGAAAGGCCACGACGGCCTTATTCATCCGAGAACCATATGTTATATTCCTATGACCAAACTGTTCACCTATAGCCAAGAGAACCTGTTCCACGGTGTACTGTGGAGAGGCCACAACTCTGATCCCATGTTTGATGGACAGGGGAGGCGAACCCTCACCAAGGCTATTCAAGAGAAGGCTGAAACACGGGGTCAAACATGGGGGGGATTGCACATGCGCAGTAAAATCTGGTCTGCACTTCCTCAAAGGCTCAGTAGATGGCGTGAGACCGCGAAATAAGGGGGATGTTTGTTACATGTCACTGAGGTGCCCGCAGTCGGTCCTGGGTCGGAAGGTGTTATTCACCGCTGGGTCATGTCATTTTCACAGCTTATTTTTGGACTGTCACTGGTGGCCTACGCTGTGGATGAGAAAGACAGAGATGCAATTCCGACAACTTCAGGCAGCCGCCGTCCAAAAGTCCAAGCAGACTGCACCAAGTGCACTCCTTGATCACCTGAGCGGATCCTGCGCTTTTTATCCAGCGCCCCTGCTGTCACCCTCCAGCATCGCAGCTCAAGTTACACTGCGCATGTGCAATCCCCCCATGTTTGACCCCATGTCTCAGCCTTCTTTTGAATAGCCTTGACCCTCACCAGGGAGGGACGCCATAGCTCAGTGAAACAATATGATTAATACCAACTTTTCCTCAGTAAATCCACAATTTGTTGAATTAAACTCCTCTTACCTTTTCCTAAGGGACAGGATGAAAGATTGAAAAACCGAAAATAAACAGTCCAAACGTCCCAAACTCAATCAGCAGCTCCACACACTCCATAGCCGCCCACACGCCCAAACTCCCAGCATGCAGTGAGAGGAGAGGAGAGGAGAGGAGAGGAGAGGAGAGGAGAGGAGAGGAGGCTTGTTGGAAAGGTGTGGTTGTACTGAATCCAGCGATACCAAAACTGTAAAGATAGCTTGTAAAGATAGCATGCATATTCAGGCAGTCAGTCCACTAAACAAATGAGGTGTCCCAAATGAAAGAAAACAAAACGGTAGCTTTTAACTTCAGTTGATTTGTAGAGATCCCTTATGGTATTATTTAACAATTATTAACCTGTTGTTTATGTTGGAAAAGTCAATAACAACCCTAAGGCACATGTAATCACGTGGATTTTAATAATAAAATTGTGAATCCTAATGTAGAGGGTGACATAGGGAGGGATTGGTGGTTCTGAAAAGGGGTTTGGGTCCGGGATGGTGGGACAGTGGAAGGAAGGAGTCCAGAGACAGTAAGGGTGGAGCATTGGAGGGTGAGAAGACAATGGAGTTTCAGTGGTGGAGGCCTGGAAGAAGTAGAGGACACAGCTGGTTAGAGCAGAACAAAGTGGTAAGGAGGATTAACTCTAACTACAAGTGTACATGATTATATGAAACTATACTCAAAAGCTTGCAACTGACCAACAATAGTAGGCTTTAGTCTGTGACCAGGGAGAGGGCGGTGAGTCAGGCTGAGTCAGGCTGAAATAAAAGTTGAGGTGACCGGAGGACAAGAAAATCTTGAGGCAGAGACAGAGACAAGGTAAGGCAGGGCACACCAAACAAGCAAAGCGGGCAAACACTATTATTGTTACTGTACTATTTACTTCTTTTACATTACCTAATAATCACAACAGTCATCCTCGTCTTCCACATCTTCATCTGAACTTTCCGCACTATCATTGGTAGATGCCTGGTTCTCACATTGTGCCAGTCTACACATGTCTGTACATCTGAGACCATTTGCAACACACACATCTTGGAAGTGTGCATTTTTTTGTACAGTTACAGGCCAGTAGATCCAGGATGGCCTCAGGTGCTGGCTGGCCTTCCATCCAATCTACCACCAAGTGTTCAGTGTCCTCTTCTTTCTTCATCTTCCATCCTCTGCCAACAGAGCATGGAACTTGGAGGTCGTTCTCCAAACATCTTCTCCATATGCGAGCTTGATAGTTGGCCCGCTGTGCATGTTTTCGTTATTAAGCAGTCCTTACAAGGTGGAAGTTGATGGCTTTCGATTTCACCTTTTTTGATACAGAAAAGGTGATACCTGAGCTCGTTGACCTTGGTGGTTGATGGTTTTGGAACATACAGGGCACATGTAAATGCCTCGAGTTTGTCCATCAGTTCTGGGGAGAGGTCCCAGTCCTGGCCCAACTCTAGGAGTGTAATAGCCTCCTGACGATCTCTGCGCCACCTAGACACACTAAAATGACCAATGCTGCCCGTAGGAATGTCGTTGAAAGATCAAACCAAAACTGGCTTGTTTGTCTCATCGAGACCTACAAATCACGCACCCCTAACCTAAATCCAACAGGAAGTGAACTATTTGCCCTTTCAATGTAACATGTCGTTTTTCAAAAATTCTCTTTCTCAAAAAATATTTCCTCCTACACCGTTTATCATATCGGCTTGAAACTTGCACACATGACAGCTCAACCCCTGCTGAACAGATCGTCTGAATAACTTTGTCATTACTGGAACGTTTTGGATTTTATGGCCTCTTAAAAGTAACGTGCCACAAAACCTCTTAAATGTCTTCGCACCACCTAGACACACTAAAATGGCCCACCATTTATCGTATCAGCTTTAAACTCACACACGTCACAGGCCAACCCCTGCTGAACAGATCCTCTGAATAACTTTGGCATTACTCGAACGGTTTGGATTTTATGGGCTCTTAAATGTCATGTGCCACAAAACCTCCTGACAATCTTCATGCCACCTAGACACACTACAATAGCAACTGCGGCCCGTAGGAATGTCGTAGAAAGATCAACCTTTGTCTTTAACTGTCTATGTGAGCTGGAGGCTGAAACGATGTGAGTCTGAGGTCCCGCCCAACGCTGCTTGCAGCTTTAATTATTAGGGTCTGGGCAGCTAAGCAAAAATTGTGTTGCTAAATTCCTACATGTCTTCTAATTCTTCTGCTTGTTGCTCAGAATTGCCTAAAAATGCCCGGACCCGACCCATCGCTGCGCAGCAGCTATATTTATTATTATCATTCATGTACAAACACATGACAAAATCTGAAAGCAGGAAGTTTTTTGATGATTTGATTTTGAGAAGTGTGCGACATCATCCGAGAAAGCTAAAAGAGGACAGTCCAGTAGAACCAGTTGAAACAATGTTGTGGAACTTTCCGTTGATGGAAGGATGCCATGTGTTCGGGGAAGTCAGACAGATGATTTTAATCAGTCCTTTAACAGAACAAGTTTGCTGTTGTTGTTGCTTGAGTGAATTCTGTTATTTGCTAATTAATCCATGTTTTGACAAACAAATTAAACTTAATAAAAGATATTCAAATGTATTTAAATGACCTAATATGAAGGGTTTTGTCATACATACAAGTGAATGGTCATTTTAAAAAAAAATCTTCCTGACAGAAACTTTCTCTATATTTTCTCAGCACACAAGAGGCCATTGCACAGGACATTTTGACATTTTAACCTTTACACTTGTTTTTGAATGGCTTTGAATGCATTGGAGAAAAACTGGTGATGAAACTATGAAGTCAGGTTTGTCTTCTCTGACACAACAAAGGTTTGGATGGGGAGCTGAATATTTGTAGTTAATCCAAAAATAATAGGTAAGCAGAACTGTGATGAACAAAAGGCCATACTTAAGTCCAACAATTCTGTTGTCTTTATTTTTTGTTTGTTTGTCTGTTATCATAAAAGTCTATTTTCACAGGAAATTGGGACATGTAAGTCAGCATCCATAAAAATTGTGTTGTTGTCCCTGAGCTTTCGATGGTAAAGGGACTTGCAGTTGTATAGCACCTTCCTCGCCTTCTACCCAATCAAAGTGCTTTCAAACTACAGAACCATATTCACACATGCACACTTGGGTGCCACCTGCTCACCTAAATAATCACATGCACCCACACAACAATGGCACAGCCTTCAGAGGCAATTTGGGGTCCAGTATCTTGCCCAAATATACTTCGACATGCAGACTGGAGGAGCCAGCATTCAAACCACCAGTCTTCCAATAAGAGGTCAGCCTGCCCTACCTCCTGAGCCACAGCCACATGATCTTTATGTGCAGATAGAATGTGCCCAGCTTCTCGTCCATAATGTCTTCAAGGTCAAGAATTAACATCGATGGGGTGTCGGTGGCTTAGTTTGTGGGTAAAGCAGGCACTCCAGATACAAGGCTGTTTCCGTAGTGGCCCGGGTTTGAATCCAGCCTGTGGCCCTTTGCTGCACGTCATCCCCCCTCTCTCTCTCCCCCCTTCACGCTTACCTGTCCTGTCCATTAAAGGCAAAATGCCCAAAAAAATATCTTTAAAAACAAAGGAAATAACATTGACATCTACATCTGTTGAAAATCCAAATTTTCGTGTAAACTGGGTAAACTCTCTTTTAAGGTCAAGAATGAGCTTTGAAATTCAAATCAATCAGGGCTAATGTAACACCAGTTTTAGGAGCAAAGTTAGTAAGAATTTTACTGGTTTTAACGTAAGGAGGTAGTTAATGATGAGACGCAGATTAAAGGGAGATGGAGTTTACGAGCTATTAGGTTCAGTCAAGTTCAAGTGACTACCTTTCCCATATGTGGTGAAAGCTATATATTGCCCAACCTAATGATGTACTTGAAAACATTTCTGTCTTCCTGGATCAATTTCAAACTCTTAGAATAATACGCCTCTTATTGTTCAGTCAGCAGAGGCTGTCAAGTAGGAATGTAAGGGTGTGTGTGTGTGTGTGTGTGTGTGTGTGTGTGTGTGGTGAGAGAGGGAGGGAGGGAGGGAGGAGGGAGGGAGGGAGGAGGGTATATATTTATAAGTGCCAGTGTGACAGTGTCATCTCATCCTTGGCTCAGGACTCCAGCTGGTTTCAGGATATCTATACTGCAGGTGAGTCTGAGCATCTGTATATGAAGGTTTTAACTACGTGGGATGTAGCTCCTTTTGTAATGGACCAACTTGATTGGGATCTTACTGTGACAATGGGCACTGATTAAATTCTGATGATTTTAATATTATTTATTTACTGGCCTTAGGCCGTCCACAGATTGTTGGATTGGATTGTGGACTTACAGCTTAATAAAACAAAATGCCAGATTGGTGTTATGTGTAAAGAAATGTGTATAGCTGTTGATAATCATATGATGATGATGATGATGATGATTGTTGAACTGGTTTCTGTTTCCAGTGTTGTCTCTGGACACCCTCACACACTAGAATGTTTTCTCTCCTGTTCTTTGCTGTGCTCTGCGCCAGCTGCCTGTCTGGTAAGATTTCCATCTTTTGAGTCTTTCTATAGCAATGTTATACTTTTTTCTACAAACATGTGGCATCTAATAAGACCTGTGTGTATAAATTGTGAAGTCAAGCTGAGTCAAGAAGCAGTAGCTTCCTCTTGTCCATCACATAATGACTTTGTTTCACCTCTCCAGCTCCCAGTGAGCACTACTCCTTCTCCCCTCCTGTTGGACCCGGGAGTGGCACTTCCTTCTCCACAGCAGGAGACGGAGGGATCAGGGGGGTTAGGGTCTGGGAGTCGATCAACTCTTACATCACAGGGTCAGTCTGTCCTCCTTCTTGTCCACATTTGTTTTTATTTTAGCCTTAAGCTATTGCAGAGCCTATAACCAGTGCATTTGATGGTGGTAGTAACTGTTCAATTAGTAGTGTTTGGCTCAAAACAGGGTGGTTGGAGCATTTGATAAATATGCTATTTTATGTTTGCTACATTATCTAATGTGTAATTGGGGAATGTTGTGAAAATTATTCATTAACAAGTTTATAATGCAGCACTGATTTGACCTCTTTATGCACCTGAAACTGCTTTGTGTTTTAACAGTTGAATGTTGTTATGTCATATTGAGTTGTTAGTGGGGAAGGTGTTGGGATTTTCAAAGGGACGGCCCATTAAGTTTTAATGAAGTTGGGAGGGACTTGCTTTTTCAAAAAAAAGTGAACCGTAAGATTGAGCCACGCTTCATGCCTCAATAATTTGCTTCCAACACATTTGCTCTATTGTCTAGCCTATTTGTTCTTACACATGCAATAATCTATTACGACAATTCTTTTATTAAGTGTCCTCACATCTTCTTCACATCAGTACCATTTTTGGTGTTCAACAGTGTTTCCTCTCTCCTGTGTCTGTCCCTGCAGTCTCCAGGTGCGCAATGGCTTCTCCTGGTCCAACGTTTTTGGTCGCACACTTGGAGATGCACAGGAGCTGGAACTATATGATGATGAGTACATTATTCAGGTCAGTGTGTGTGTGTGTGTCTGTGTGTGTGTATTTGAAACATTCTGATAAGACAGTGTGACTTATGATTTGTTGACATTTATAAAATAATAATATCAATAGTATACATCTATTTTATTATACAGGTCCAGGAAATTATAGTAGCAGCAACATTTTTCTTTAAACTGAATAGTGTACTGTGATTCATATTATACTATATTCATCATTATATGAAAAACACAAAATGTGTGTACTAATCGAGGACTAACCACATGTACCAAGTGTGTTAATGTCCTCACTCTGTCATGTTTCAGATCTCTGGCAAATACAACACCGCCTATATCTATCAGCTGATCTTTGTGACCAGTACAGGGAGATCTCTGATAGTTGGCCAGCCCACACATGTAATTATCTTCAACTTTTCCTTTTTGTTACAATTATCAATACTTTTACTCATGGTCATGTGTTGACCTGTTTATGCTTTGTTACAGACCTCTTTCAACTTCTACCCGATCCACTATGGTTGCGAGCTAAAAATACTGAGTGGTCGCTATACCACCTCAGGGATCAAGTCTTTGGGAGCTCACTGGGGAAGTCGGATGATATCGACCAACACTTCAGTCCACGACTACTGACTACTAACAACAGTCTTAAGCAGAGAATAATCAACCTATCTTTTTCCATTAAGAAAGTATTTAGTCTTTGTGCACTGGGTAATATTTTAACACTTTTTGTATGAATACTTCTGGAAAATAATGTCTTTGTTCATTTAAAAAAAACAACAAAAAAACAGAATGAAGGGTGACTGTGAACGATTAACTCAGTTTGTGACCCCATGTGGGGAAGTTAAACACACAGGATCTACTAAACATGTACTTTATAGACAAGACAATATTTTTTCATCAAATGAAGGGGCTCTGAGTAAAAGCATTTTGCATTTTGCATTCTCATGAAGGAGAGATTGCAGTGATTTATTGCACTTTATCAATACCTCATGTATTTTGAGGAATGCTAATTGTAAGGATATTAAGAGATTATATATGTGGTTTTATTTCTGCATATTCAAATGGTTGGAGAAATGTTCAGTCTGACCAGTATTTAATTCTGTTGCACGCAATATGCTGTTGTATTTTATGAAAGGTATGATTTTTTTTTCCTTTTGTGACTTTGTGGCTGTTATGCAAAATTAATAAAACAACTAAATCAAAGCAACTTGATTTTATGTAATGATAATGAAGAACAACTTTTGTGCAGTATCGTCCACAACTTCCTGCTTTTTCATGTGTGTGACACTGCAGTAACCTCAAACATACAATGGCAAACATAGGAAAATTTTATTTTTTGTCATTGCACAATTTAACTCAGATTCCACTGTTTTGAGAGCGCCTTGTCTTAATGAGCTCATATTTTGTTTAGTTACAGAGTCCATAAAAATGCGTTGAGAGCAAAAGTTTTTCCCTCTGCCTCAGTGTCTTCCTGCTAAACATAAGTCACGCAGCAAAGATACTCCGCTATGATCATATTTACAGTTTCTACACAAGTTTACGTTTGACTTGACCTGCACTGAAGTCAAATTTCCAGTCTGATCTCTGTTGCCTTCAAACAGCAGGAAACAAGACTACTGTCCTTCTTCTGTGGTTTTCCAGGCACAGTAGCTCAGGTAACTGCTTCCTGCATAGCACAGTGTGGTCAGAAACGCAAAGAACTGAAAAGCATTAAAAGTGTGGAAAAGATGAGGAGAAAAAGAACACAGGAAAAGAGAGAGGGACGAGAAGACAATGAGAAGGAGTACATTTATTCATTTAATATCTAAAGATCATAATTCACAACTGAAAAATCTCTCATTATCTACTCACAACAAGTCAGTGCACTGGTAAACTGTTGAAGCTGTCACATGAGGCATCTTGGGAACTATGTGTCAAACAGTAATTGATTCAATTGATGTAATTCATTTATCTATGGAGGACAAATGCACAGGAAAAGAGCTGCTAATTTAACAACATTTCTATTTTACTTACTCTACCCATTTACACAGAACAGTTTCAGCCATGACGTGACCAAGCCATGTGAAACACACATTGCTTGTCAATATCATCATATAATTCAGTATTTTTTACTATCTGTAATATTAATTGTATCACGACAGTCCCACAGCAATCCCTGGCATCGTGCTAGGATACATACAAGTGATTCAAGTGAGTTCCACACTGTGAGGTCTTGATATTTTAAACTTGGATAAAAGAGAGCACTGTTTGCTCTGTATCAGCAGATACCCTGACTTGATTAATCAGAATCAGTTTTAGGAAAGAAAAAGTTGGATATTAAAGTTTATATTTAAGGGAATGTACAAAGGCTGTTTCAAAATGATCCCCATGCTTATAGGAATGTAGTTCTGGTGGAGCAATACTATGATAATAAAAATACTAATATAGCTACAAATATTTATCAGCTTTGAAAACCACCATGTGTATCTGTACTAATTTATAGAATGTGGTCTTCTCAGGTCATTATTACCAAAAAATAATAGCGAGGACATGACCTTAGTGTCCAGGCTGAAGACAGTATCTACATTTACACAGTGCAATCGCTTGCTTGCAAAAATCCTACATTACCTTGCACATGTGGTTGTTGTTTATTCCTCAGTTAATTTGAAAACTTCTGTTGTTTTCTGACACTTGTCTAGTTGTGTGTAATGTGGACATAAGAATTCCAGTGATGTTTTTGATATACACTCATATGTGTGCTAGAAAAAACTTTCTTTTTGGATGAACTTTCCTCTCAACAGATCATACTGTGAAAAGTGCTCTTACTGCAGATGCTGCCCAGCAGTTGTAGTTGTGTCGTCCCCTAATGGCCTGGTTGACTGAGAAAGCATCTGCTACTGCTGTCACCAGATACAGAGCTGCAGCACTGCAGTTCAAACACAGCGACTACAACAAAGAAAAACACAGTGAAACAGATAAATAGACGAAGCAGGGAGACGGTTATGTTAAACCAGGGTTGTCAAACATACGGCCCAGGGGCCAGAACCAGCAGGCCGATGGGTCCAATCCGGCCCTCTAGATGACTTTGGATACCTAATGTTGATGCGCGTGTGAAGTCCAAGAGGTTTCATGAGCAGTTTAAACAGTGAGCAGATAGTTATGACATAAAAGTTGATATTTATAGGTTATTTTGCAGTGGTTTCAGTGGTCCAGCCCACTTTAGATCATATTGGGCTGTATGTGGCCCCTGAACTAAAATGAGATTGACACCCTTGTGTTAAACATAAAGCCAAAACAAGTGAACCAGACTGCTTGAACAGTGTGTGTGTGTGTGTGTGTGTGTGTGTGTTACCAGTGTTGTCCAGGGGACCTTTGGTATCCTGCTGTGGGCTCCAGTGAGGTAAATTATAAACAGGCAGACGGTCAGGACCCAGCACAAGATGGCAACGAACATCACCCAGCAGAGAGCAGACACGTCAAAATAGTCTGTACCCCCTACCAGAATCCACACCAGCATACCGAACACCTGGAGGAGAGGAGAGGAGAGGAGAGGAGAGGAGAGGAGAGGTTAATTTACTTCTTGATGTACTTCAGCGTGAGAGAAGGACATAAAACATAAAGAGAGGTAAAGACAAAACTACAAACAAGTCCAAAGACAAATAAGGTGTGACACAGTTTTGTTGTTGTGTTTTTCCATTGATTGAAGCTCATTATTATATCTGTGTACACTGGGTGAGGAAAATATTTGGCACTATAATTCTCTATATGGAATGTTGACAGAATAAGTTCGTGTCAAAGCTTTAAACCTTCACTGATTTCACCAGATAAATATTTGGAGGTCATAAAAAAGGACATAGCTATGTGACACAAAATGTGGCATGTTGAGGCAGTTGATTTCCCTAAACTAAAAATTGTAGCATAAAGCAGTGTCTCATGTCACTTATGTTTATAAGTTTGGGCCATTCATTTGTTGTTCCATGAGTAATTTTTAAATTCCAAACACCCAACATGCCCCATCTCCCCTCAAAGTGTTGTGGTGAGAAATAAATCTCTTTCCTCCCAACACTACTCCAAACCCACCCTTCCTGTCTCACAACAAAAGATTCTGCTGGATGTTTCTATATCACAGGAAGAAACGTTTTCTGGTGTGAATCATGACTCTAAAGAGAGTTGGTTTCTTTGCTGTTAAAATCCTGAACAGGTTATCAATTTAATATGAAAATCTGCTGAGTTACTGATGTGTTTCAGTCACAATGATTTAACCCAAAAGCCAGAATTTGCAGTTAAATGTGGTGTTTTCTGAATGTAGTTTTCATTCTTTTCTCAGCATCTAATGTATCTATGATTTTACGTTATGCATAGTATGATCTCACAACATCATTTCCAAAAATAAATAAATAATAAAAAGCCTTAGGGTGTTTCAATTATTCTACTTTTTTTTTTATTGTTGCAATTGCTTGCAGTCAGATTACTCAAACTGTGGCGTGCCCAGCCTCTGCATGGCAGCCAGCCAGGCTGTATTTACAGAAAGACTCTCCTGACTTTTTTCCTCAGCTGATTCAGAAAGGAAGAGACACAATGAGGGAGAGGAAGGAGGAAGAGTTGATTTGCTTGGTGTGTTTTTGGGTAACTTCCTATTTTCTTAGAAAAGTAATGTTTCGTTTTTCTGGTTTTTCTGTTACTCCACTGAATATGGTCTGGGCAGTACCACAAAAATCAATTCATACTTTAATTACGATCACAAATTTCAGATCCACTTTAATAAAAAGAAAGTCATGAATGAATCTCTGAATCTATGCTAACACAAAACCTGCCTTCATACGTGCACTACTGTAGATGAGAAACAACCCAAACTTAGAGCAAGTTGTTTCTAGGTGTGTGTGTGTGTGTGTGTGTCTGCATCACCTTGAGAGAGCAGACCACACACTTACTAACACAATATACTTTTCCTCTCTTTTAATGTTCCTTATATAAATCAAAATGATTGCCACTTCCTTACAATGATTATGAAATAGTAACTGATGTTAATTTTTCTACTGATACAATCTTCAAACCACCAAACAGCTTAAATCCATACTTACTATCTCAGCCAGGAGCAGTATTCCTTTGGCAGTAGTGGTGAAGTGCTGGTCGAAGGCCAGGGTGGAGGTTGAGATGTTGCACTCTGGTACTGAGGGAGTCCTGTGGGCCGACATCACAGCAGCTCTCTCCATGGTGGACTGACGCAGGCAGTCTGTGTGCTCTCAGTCATGTTGTCGCTGCTGGAGAGGAAGTTGTGTTCCTGTCCCGGAATCCAACAAGGACAACCCTTCGTGAGAAGTTTAATTATAAATGCTGCATATAAGCTCACATATATAAAAAAACAATTGCATAATCCAGTATTTGAGTTGTACCCCGTCTTATTCACCTTGATTTAAAAATCACTGACTCAGTACATGAGGAGACATTTTTCTCTGTTTTGTATTTAAAAAGTCAACAAATTTACACTGTAGAGCCAGTTGAGTACTAAAACAGACGAGGTTATCTGCTCGCTTTATTGTTCTGTCACTGCTATTTTTTATTTTTTTATTGTGTGGTGAAGTAATAAATGTTATGTCGGAGCCATAATGCTACATTACATGTTTGAACTGGCGCAGAGGTGACAATAAATAGGAGGGAAATTGAGATGACTTCAGAGGGATTCACAACTAAAGACAAGAAAAGGAGAGCTGTGTGTGAAATCTACTTCAGGACACACTGATGATGACAGTTCTGCTGCTGATGATAAATGATGCTGATAGCCAAGAGGAAGAGGAGGAGTCTGTGTGATACTTTTGCATGTTTTAGCCCCTAACAACAACAATTGATTATTTAGGTTGACGTGCTACATTCCAGGCTGTCATTGTTTTCTGCAATACCATGAAAATCAATTTTCAGAGATTCAGTTTTGCTTGAGTTACAAAGCCTTATTCACCACACTGAACAATTTATTTTTGTGGTGCAGCTTCGATATCTAATAGCTAGAGGGCTACTAAGGTAGAGGGGCATCTTTAGAAAGAGAAACCCCAGAGGACAACCAGGAGGGCAATATGAATGCTAATTTTCCTAATAATCAGGGGTGGAAGTTACCAGTTACATTTACTTTTTTTTTCCCTGTAACAACTTTGTTTTTTGTGTTGCCTTCTTGTCACCCACATTTTTAAGCGGACCTAAATTTAAAAAAAAAAAACTGATTATATTTGTATGTAAGAATTTTTTATATGAAGTTTTGTTGGCCTGCTTTGCTGCATTTCAAGTCACATCTGTTACAGAGTAAAAGTGGAAGTTAAAAAGCAGAGTGTAAGAATGAAACAAAAGATAAGAGATAAATCAGCAGATGCAGCAGACAAGCAGTGGTGGAATGTTACTAAGTCAGTTTACTCAAGTATTGTACTTAAGTACAGATCTGAGGTACTTTACTTGAGTTTATTCTTTTCCTGCAACTTTATACTAAGACTCCACTACCAGCAGTGTAAGGAAGTTAAGATGGGCCCCAGTGCACCCTAATATGACGGGCCGTGGTGCATGCTATAGTGCATGTATTGTCTTGACACAAATTGAGACCTGACACTGGACAACATCAACATACATATTACCCAGCAATCAGTGCATATCTTACAACATACCAAAGAAAGGAGAAATCAATCATTAACTGGATTGTTTTTACAGTATATTTAAAGATTTTATAGCTTATATTAAAAAAGCTAGATAGACAGTTACTATCTTAAAAAAATGAAATGAAAAAAGACAACATTGACGCCGATGGGTTAGCCTTTTTGAGGATTTATATAGAAATGGCACAGTTTTTAGATTCATGATATTCTGTTTTTCATCATTTATCTTTGAACAAAGGTATATTTTTAAGGTGGCAATCTGATCACTTGAAAGGGCCCACTCTCTCTTTTAAGGCCCCTTCACCCCAGAGGCCTCAGTGCACTGTCTATATTTACACCCCTGTCCACTACATTTTAGAGTGAAATATTGCACTTTTTTACTGCATAACATTTATCTGAAAGCTTAAGTTACTAGTTAAGTTACTTACTTAGGCACAGAATTACATTTAAGGGTTTATGTTTTAACCTTTAATGATGCTAATACCACTGTTGTGCCTTAAAAAGGCTGCATACACCTTAATTAATCACTGTTTTAATGCACTCAAACACTAAGTGATCCACATGAAACACACCCATGATGCTGACCCACGTCACCAACAGGTGCGTGCTAAGTGCTAAAACACTTGTGGTGGTGGGGAACGTTTACCTTCAGTGAGATGTGTCTGCTGTTTATGACGATAATCTCTGTCACAGTTTTGAGTCTTTGAAAACTTTGAAAAGCGCAGTGGAATAGATAGGCTGAGTGGACTGGTTATAGTGGGACAGAGAGGCTGAGTGGACTGGTTATAGTGGGACAGAGTGGCTGAGTGGACTGGTTAGAGTGGGACAGAGAGGCTGAGTGGACTGGTTAGAGTGGGACAGAGTGGCTGAGTGGACTGGTTATAGTGGGACAGGCTGAGTGGACTGGTTAGAGTGGGACAGGCTGAGTGGACTGGTTAGAGTGGGACGGAGTGGCTGAGTGGACTGGTTATAGTGGGACAGACAGGCTGAGTGGACTGGTGTAGTGGACTCTTGCCTTGAGTATAAAGGAACAGAGAAGTTGAAGCTTCAGCAGATTGTGGAGGACCTCGTGGTGCACAAGACTCACACAGAGCTGCTCAGATAGATGAGTACAACAAAACAGTTAGGTCCAGAGGAGACTGGTCAACGTTGCTAGGCAACCTAGCATTGTGTGTGTGTGTGTGTGTGTGTGTGTGTGTGTGTGTGCACTGCAGCTTGTGCAAAAACTGTGCAGTCAGCACCAGAAAGGCTCAGAGGGTGGATGGTGAGGCATCCTCCAAGACACCAGCAGGGAATATAATCAGTTTCCCCTGAACATTCCCCCTCATACTTTACCATTTAGCATGAGCATTACCATGAGCATTACCATGAGTAATAATGAGACTGACATGAAAAGAATTGCTGTAACTATGAGTCGAGGCTACACTGTGATGTAAAGTTTTAATCTGCAAAGTCATAGGTTTCAGTGAAATGACATGAAACTAGTGGAGATCAATTTAAAGATCCCCTCTGTGTTTTCAACAAATAGTCTGCCTTGAACAACAATTTCAGATCTATAAATATGCAAATTTTGTTTATTGCTGTATTGAAAAGTCCATTCTCAGTATTTGTGCAAAACTGGGTAAAACTTGCCTTAAGTTTAAGTTTCCACATTACATTTGTGCTGAATACTGGAACACAACTGGCTCCAAACTAGTTGTGATGTCACAATATCCAGCTAATAGGAACACGTGTTAAACTAATTTTCAAGGAGAGCGAAGAGAAACTGTCCTCCTTTTAGCAGATGAATCTGAAAATGGCCTTTTACTCAATTGTGCACATATTCTACACAGTAAAGGTTATCAATACACAGGAAGTAACAAAAACAATTTTTTAATGGAGGACTGGGGGACTTCAAGGAGGAAATAATGCTGAGCATGGACAGTTTAAAGGGCCATGATCAAATATATAGATACATCAATAATTATAGAATTAAATGCTCAAATAAGTGATTCAATAAATTATCATATAATTAAATGCTTAAATAAATAAATTATTTTTTTATGTAATTTAATGCTTAATTAACACAATAATTAAAGAAATCACAATTTAAATCAGAAATTTAATATATAAATGTTACATCTATTTGTGTATCTGTGTGTATCTGAGACATTACTGCATTAAATTTTTTCTGACCACCAAGTGAGGAGAAATATTTGGGGCCTAATTAAAACCCTGTATTCCATCATAAGTGTGCCCATGCTGCAGTGCAGCTGTGGAGGCAGTGAATGGCTTTGACCACCGGGGGGCAGTAGTTACACATGGACAAACAGTAACCCTCACTTGAGGGGAATGAGCAGAGAACAGGGACAAAAGAGGCAACGTTGAGGCCAGCAAGACGCGCTGGGTGGGTAACTGTCGCCAGTGTGGGCGTGTATATTGTTGTTTTCGCTCATATGTTATTTATTTTTGCTGCTAATACGAAGAAGGCAACACTACGCTCCTGATAACATGACTGACTCAACTGGTTACCTGAAGGCTGACGCCCCACAGAAGCAGGTGTGCATTAGGCCTGCCACAAACTTGGATGACTGAATTTCGTTCTGCTGTTATCATTGCATGGACATTTATAACTGTGCATGTGCTGATGGTGTTTTTTCCTCCTAACAGAATACAGTAGAATAGACACACGATAAACTAAATGTAATCTTTATATAATTCAAACAGATTTTCATTTGATTTGTATTTGAATTAAATCAGAGAGATCACATGTTTCTCAGCAGTTCTAGCTGCAACTCTGATTAGACTGAAGTGATAATCAACTATAGGTGACTATAAATTAAGTCTTATTACAAAAAAATGTAATGGCAATGAAGCTAGCAAGAGTTTGGACAAACAAATAGAGCAATAACCTTCACATTAAGATGCTTTGTGGTGTTGTGCTGCAGTCAATAGGCTGGGCTATACGTTATCTGACTGGGTTTTTACATGCTTTATCTTATGCTACTTGATAGACTAATTCTGCCCCGCTGAGTACATTCTGCTCTGTACAGCAATATATCCACTGCAGCAATCTATACTCTGCATTACTCCTTCTCTCCATTCACTCGACCAGCAGGCCAGCTTTTCTTGTCCTCCCTGTGCTGGCCGGTGGCTACATGTAGCCATTACATTATAAAAAAAAATGAAAAAAGAAGAAGAAGAATTGGCTATGGCTATTCCTGTATATGGAATTGACAGCTTGCACCCAGAGACATTATTCTTTCTTTGAGACCAATAGATTTTCTATATGAGCTGTCTAACAGCTAATTATCACAGCAAGACCAGGGTCGTTTCACTTTCATTCTATTAATTAAAAAAGGAAACACAATCTTAATGTCATTTACTAATGTCAGAGCACATTCTTAATTATTTTGTTCAATTAGATTGAACGTGCCCACCTTGAGGAAGTTTTAGGTTTTATCCATTTAGGAATTCCCTTTGTCAGACTCGTTGTATTCTATGAAATGTGTGTCAGGTTAATTGTGCATGCAGTGTCTTAATAGACTCAATGAAAAGGTTTGGTTTTTATAGGAAACTCATTTGTTGTACATTTTTTGTGT